GCCCAGGCTGGAGTGCAGCAGCACGATCTCGGCTCACTGCAACCTCTGCCTCCCAGGTTTGAGTGATTCTCCTGCCTCAGCCTCCTGAGTAGCTAGGATTACAGGCATGAGTCACCACACTTGGCTAATTTTTGTATTTTTAGTAGAGACAGTTATCACCATTTTGGCCAGGCTGGCCTCAAGTTCCTGACCTCAGGTGATCTGCCCGCCTCGGCCTCCCAAAATGCTGGAATTACAAGCATGAGCCACTGTGCCCGACCAGAATTCACTGTTTTAAAGTGGACAATTAACTGGTATTTTAGTACAATCACAATGTTGTACCCCTCACCTCTGTCTAGTTCCAGAATGTTTTCATCCCCGCAAAAGGTGACCCCGTCCCCATCAGCAGTCACTCCCCATTCTCCTTCCCTAACCCCTGGCAGCTACTCATCTGCTTCCTGTCTCTATGGATTTGCCTGTTTTGGGCATTTCAGATCAATGAAATCTCACACTACGTGGCCTTTTGTGTCTGGCTTCTTTCACCCAGCGTCATGTTTTCAGGGCTCATCCACATTGTAGCAGGGATCAGTGCTTCCTTCCTTTTCATGGCTACATAATATTTCATTGTATGGATGGACCGCCTTTCATTTATCTTCATCTATTGATGGACACTTGCATTGTTTCTACGTTTTTGCTGTTGTGAACATGCATGTGTAAGGTTTTGTTTGAACACCTGTTTTCTTCCCTTCCCTTCCCTTCCCTTTCCCTTTCCCTTTCCCCTTTCCCCTTTCCCTTCCTTCCCTTCCCTTCTTTCCTCCCTGCCTCCCTCCCTCCCTCCCTTCCTCTCTCTTTCTTTCTTTCCTTCTTTCTCTTTCTTTCTTTCTTTCCTTTTTTTTTTTTTTTTTGACAGAGTCTTTCTCTGTCTATCAGGCTGGAGTGCAGTAGCAACATCTCAGCTCACTGCAACCTCCACCTGGGAGGAGAGATTCTCCTGCCTCAGCCTCCTGAATAGCTGGGATTACAGGTGTGCAACACCATGCCCAGCTAATTTTTGTATTTTTTTTTTTTTAGTACAGACAGGATTTCACCATGTTGGGCAGGCTGGTCTCAAACTCCCGACCTCAGGTAATCTGCCCGCCTCAGCCTCCCAAAGTGGTGGGATCACAGGCATGAGCTGCTGCGCCCGGCCTGAACACCTGTTTCTTAATTCTTCTGGGTATATACCCAAGAGTGGATTTGCTGGGTCAGGTGGTAAGTTATTTTATGTTTAAATTTTGGAGGAGCCCAAAGGTTCCTCTTTGAAATCCCACCTGTAATTACATGCCTGAGACTACAGGCATGTAATTACAGGTGGGATTTCAAATTTATGAAATTTATGTAAGGAAAGTAAATTTATGTAAGGAAAAAGAAAACATGGACCAATTTAGAGAGAGATGTGATGTATCAAATAGCACAGGTGGTCAACAGAGTAGTTTAGGATGGCTTGGGACTGGGGAACTGCCTCCAGGAAGACAGACAGCCACCTTTGAGCTCAATGGGTCCCCCGGGTCCATCAGCCTGTGTACCCCCTCTGCAGACAGCTGGTCGAGGTGGTCCGTGAGCGCTACCTGTCGGGATCCGAGAGAGCCAAGAGGCATGGCGTTCTGGCTGACTTCTTCTCAGGGACCTGGAGCCAGGGTACCAAGAAGCTCATCACTCTGCCACTTGTAGGGAAACCCCTAAACTTGGACCGAAAGGTGAGGTACCTGGGACCCCCACTCTCCACCTGCAACCTCCACCCTGCCCGGTGTTGCTCACCTCCTTCCTTCCCCTTTTTGCACTGAAAACGTCCTCCTGACCTACTTCTCCTTTCCCACAGAGGGCAAGATGTCCCTTCTATCCCATTTTTTTTTTTTTTTTTT